CGTCAGGCTCCCAGCGAGCCCCCTCAGGCCAGGCCCGCCCCAGCGCCCAGCACTGGGGAGAAGCGGGGCGGCATTCGCAGGACTCCAGCTGCCTCACCCTCTCCTGCAGGTCCTTGTTCTGGAGCAAAGAGTTGGGGGGTTGGAGGTGCTGGCTCAGCTTCCCCCACAGACTTGTGGGTTGTGAAAACTGAGGCAGCATGAGAAGGAAATTTGACAGGTCCAGGGTAGACGTGGGTCCCTCTCTAGTCAGTCAGCATCCAGCCCAAACCATCATAGTTCTCACGACCTGGGGTCTGGATCGGACCCCAGGGGGGCATGGGGCCCCAGGCTTCTCCTTTGGACAGAGGAGAGCCCATCCTCCCGCCCCAACAATTGAAGTCCTTTATTCATTCAAAGTCTTTCCTGGTGATGCCTTATATACACTAGGTGCTCTATAATATTTACAAATACATGAAAGAATGTGAAAGTCTGGGTTGACAAAACAGATACCCTGGAGGTTCTGCATGTTTATGAAAGAAATGATATTAAGAACTGTTCAGATAAGAATCTCTCCATGTACATTTGAAACAAAACTATTTTAGGGTCCCTTAGCGCCACCTCTCCCCAAGCCCAGCTCTTCTCTCCTTTCCTCCCACTACACAGGCCTGCCCTGCCCCACACGCACAGCACACAGCACACAGCACACAGGCCCCGCCTCCAATGTACCTGCTCTCTGAGCTGTGTCACCTCAGCCTCCAGCCTTTTCAGTGACTCCTGCAGAGGGCGCCACTGCTCCTGCGAGGCCCCAGCGGGGTCTGAGGAGCGGGCGGGGGCCTGCTGCTGGTAGTCATGGATGTCAGCAAGCCCCAGGGACTCCCTGGAGACAGCGCCACCTGGAGGCACAAGAATCCAGGGTGGGCCTCTGGGTGAGGGGCTAGCAAGGCCCTGGGCCTGTCTTCCCAATGGTGTGCCCCTCCCCTGTCCACCTGCCCACCCGTCATCCATGGAAGGAGACAGGGTCTCTGAGGCTGTTAGAGTGAAGATCTGGAAGGGGAGGAGGGGGTAGGGAGCCCTGAGTGGACAAAGGTGACCCAGACCAGCTTTCCCAAGTAGCAGGAACCTTTCAGTCAGGTGCCAGCCCCAGGGATCCTGGGCCTCTGGGGGCACAGGGAGTATCTCGACCAGCGCCTCCCTGCACGTCAGGGTCACTCAGGGACGTAGCCAGGGGCAGCCCGGAGCTGACATGCCATGCTGGGGGGCCCAGGAGCCGGCCCAGGCTGAAGTGCAGGTCAGTCCCTTGGGGAAGGTCGCGACTGATGTGTGAAAGGCGGCTGCTTGAAGGTGCCTGGGCTCTGGTGTGAGCAAACCCTGCCAGCCGCCTGCTGTCAGAAAGGCGCTGTTCCTGGAGACTGTGTGTGTGTGTGTGTGTGTGTGTGTGTGTGTGTGTGTGTGTATTGGGGGGGGGGTGCTGCAACTCCGCTCTCTGTTCCCACCTTGAAGACCTGCCACAGCGTCCAGTCTGTGACCGAGGGGCCTGGGGACCCCACATGGGGCAGGGTGGGTTCCAGAGAGTGAGACTAGGCTGCATTCCCTGAAGGGTTTGGGGAAGCTACTGGCAGGACCCCACTAGCTTGCAAGGCGCCGGGTGGAATGAAGACAGCTGACCGTGGTTCTAGGTGACATTATGTTGAGGGAAAGGGGGGCCTCTGAGCTCAGACGTAGGCTTGGGGACAGCCACTTGCACCTCACGTGGACCCCTCTCCTGCCGGCAGAGACAGAAAAGCCGTGGCAGGGGGCAAGCTAACTCCACAACCACCCCACAGACCTCCAGGTGGGGTGGGCAGGGCACAGAGGGGCTGGAGGAGGGGGGGAGGGAGGGTCTTCCTGCAGAAGCAGCTCATTAGTGGCTAAAAGGGTTTCTCTCACGGACACTAGTGAGGCAGGGGACCAATGCCACCCACTCTCCTCACCACCCCGCTGCCATCACCAAGGGCGTTGGAGATTCTAGTCCAAAACCTACGTTGTCCTCTTTCTTCCAAACCTGCATGGCCTGGGTTCCTGGCTTGGTTAATGCCACCCCCACCTACTCGGAAATCTGGGGCTCAGCTCCCCGCTGCTGCACCTCCCCCACACCCCATCGTCTCCGGTCCCACCCAGGCGTCCCCAGCCCACTCCGCCTCTCCTCTGCTCTCCCTGTCTCTACCAAGAAGACTGAAGACAGAGCCCTCCCGCCTCCAGCTGCTCCCGCCCTGGCACAGCCTTTCTAACCCACACGCCTGGAGGTTCCCAGCAGCAGGTCCAAATGTGACCTTTCACAAGTGCCACCCACCTTTTCAGCCGCCCTGCTACCCCCCACATCCAGGTTCTAACAGCCCAACAGATGTGGGCACCCAAACCTCTGGTGCATGCTGCCGCCCCCTCCCCGAGCAGGGCCACCCGGAATGGCACTCTGCCCTGGCTCCTGCACCAGCTGCCTTCCTGGCCAGCCCGTGAAGGGCGGCCAAGACGGGGTCTCAGCATCTTGCACCCTCCACCCCAGCTCGACTCCCATCCCCCATGATCCTCCTCCAGACCGGCCTAAGCAGGAACGATTAGAGGGTCTGGGAGAGGCTGGGGGTCCCCTGGAGCCCCCAGGGAAGATGGGGCAGTCCCGTGCCTGGGGTGACCCACAGAAAGGGCGCCTGAGGGTTGCACAAAGCCTAGCTGCTCCCCACGGAGCCGTCCTCAGTTCCCCTCTCTGATCCCTCTTTTCCCGCCTGTCCCGCTGGGGGAGAGCCAGACTCAGAGATTCAAAGTCAGCTCCCACAGCGGGCCTCTTTTTTCCTGGTTCTCAAGACAAATAATTAACTTCAGACTCCCAGATTCCAGGGCAGCCTCTCCCCCGCTGCTGCCTGCAGGAATTCCTCCCGAGGCCATAGCGGGAAGCCCCCTCCCGCTCCTGGACCCCACATCCCAGCCTCCCAGCTCCCCCACCACGCTGGCTCCTCCAGCCCCAGGCAGGGCCGGGAGAGGCAGCTGCAGCCCCAGCTCCTTCCCTTTGACTGGGCTGAGCAAGGACGGGTCCTGCCTGGCCGACCCTAAGCCCTTGCCTCCCCGACTTACCTCTGCCCACCCCCTGGGCCTGCGCCAGGCTCAGGAGCTGGAGGAGGAGGAGCTGCCGAGCGGCCCCCAACCCCGCCATGCTCGCTCTGTCTGGCTGCTGCTGGCTGTGGTCTGGGCTCGGAGGCACTGGGGGAGGCGGGGTGGGGACACACCAGGCCGCCTCCCACCCAGTCTTTGTTCAGGGAGGGCTTCTGGAGTCTGTCATCCTGCAGGCTTCGCCTACCCCCCTGCTGGGCACCTCGACCCCGGGGTCCCATTCCGGTCCTGACCCAGTCCTGCTCTGAGCTGTAGCAGCCCCAGACCGGCAGGGAGTGGAGAGGGACTGGGAGCAACTTCTGCATATGATGCCAGAGAAGACCCTGAAAATAAACACAAATTCATCCCTGTGGGGCTCTGAGACAGCTGGCTTCCCTGCCCCCTTGGGTTACTCTAACTCCCTTGGGTTACTCTAACCCCAGCTTTTACCCTTTCTCGCCTGTGTACAGGAAAAGTGGACGAGCTGGGTTCAAATCCCAGTTCGGCCAATTCCATATGCCCTTGGGCAATCCCCCTAACTTCTCTGTCCCTCAGTTTCCCTGTCTGTAGACTGAAGGTGATAATATCTACTTTATAGACTTGCAGTGCGGATTCAGTGCGATTATGCAGGTAAAGAATTTAGGGTAGTGGTTGGCACATGCCAAGGGCTCAGTAAATAAATACCATAGGTGCTACCCTCTCTGAAATCGGGGGCTTCCAGCCGCCTCTTCCTTTCTCCACCTATTCATTCTTTCCTAGACTCTACTCACTCCCTGTCCACCCAGCAGACCCAGGCTTGGTCCCAAATGCCAAGGCCTCTGTTTGCTGTCGGGTCCCAGCCCGTTTTCCAGCTCCTGAGCTCAGGCCTGGCCTGGGGGTGAGCAGTGGGCAAGGCAGAGGGCAGGGCTGGGCTGTGGGCTCAGCAGGCAGATGGGGCTCAGGGCGGAAGTGAGGGAAGCTGGCCACGTGGGCCCGCAAGTCTGGGAAACTCCTTCGTGCAGCTGGGAAGCAGAGGGAAGTAGGGTTGGGCCCCAGACTTACAGGAAAGGGACCCTGAGGGTGGAGCCATGAATCCTGCCCAAGCCGTCTGCCTAATGCCATAAAGGCCAGCAAATCAGAGGCCACGCCTCCCCCTGCCCAGGCAGGGACAAAGGTCCCCCAGCCCATTCCTCATGCACCTTAAGACAGGGCAGCTTCTCTCCCAGGGGTGTGGGCCCCTTGCAGGGCCTGAGCAGTCGGCAGCAGGGGGAGGGGAGGCTGTGAGGCCGCACTGAGCCCTGGCCTCAGCCGGTCTGGAGCGAGGCCCCTGGGAGCAGAGGAAAGCCAGGAACAGCTGGCGGAAAGGACAAGGAAGTGGCAGCTGTGTTTCCACTGTGTTAAAGCAGGTCCCTCGGGAGGCTGTGGGGAGGAGAGGCAAAGAGCCGCCAACTCAAATCCTGGAGCAGAGCTTTCTGCTGGTGACCTCGGGCAAGTCGTGTAACTTTCAGCAATTGCATTTTCTTAGCTGTGCCAAGTTGCTCTAATAGCACCCACCCCACAGAGTGTCTGCGAAGGTTAAGCAAATTAATGGCTGGAAGGAGCGCTCAGCGTGGTACCTGGCACATTGGCAATAACTCCCCCCCCCCTTAAAACTATGGTTTTATTGATTTCTAGAGAGAGAGGAAGGGAGAGAGACAGAAAAATCGATGAGAGAGAAACATCCTCAATTGGCTGCCTCCTGCATGCACCCCTACTGGGGATGGAACCCAAAAACTGAGCATGTGCCCTGACCGGGAATTGAACTGGTGTCCTTTTGGTTCCTGGGTTGACACTCAACCGCTGAACGGCACCAGCCAGGAGGCAATAACTCTTATTACTTCTCTTATGTGATCTCTACTTGTCACCCAACCATGCAGGTGGGGGTGAGGTGGAAGCAGAGTTTGTCACTCCAAAATACATCTTTTGGGATTTGCTTATTTTAAGCTGTTTAAACAAACAAACAAAAACAAACTCAGAGAGAACCCTTGAATCTCCCCCTTTACCTGTCTAAAGGAATTCTGATAAAGACCTGCTTTAAGGAAGGGAACTTATTACATTAGCATCATAATATGATCTGAGTGCTGCAGGCAATGAGGAGCCAGCTAATTCTGTTTCTTAGACTCCCCTGGGTGTGCCATTGTTGGTGTCCCATTGTTCCCAGGTGGCCTGCAATAATTTGTTTACTAAATATTTAGCCTTCTAATCTACCTGTGAATTGCTGCTTTCCCTTTGAAGTCACAGACCCCTGCCTCCCTCTCCTGAGTCAGAATCCTATATAATAAAAGCCTAATATACAAATCAACCGAACTGTGGACGACTAGTGGAACGACTGGTGGCTATGATGTGCACTGACCACCAGGGGGCAGATGCTCAATGCAGGAGCTGCCCCCAGCCCACAGGCCCAGGCCAGCCAAGGTGGGTGCCAGCAAGGGAGGGGGGAGCAATTGCCCTGCCGGTCACCCCACAGATCGGCACTGATTGCTGGCCAGGCCTAGGGACCCTACCTGTGCATGAATTTTGTGCACTGGGCCTCTAGTAGTACATAAGCCTCTGTTGTTAGATGCATACGTTTATAATTGTCACCTTTCTGATGGATTACCCTTTAATTATTTTTTAAATATTTTTTATTGATTTCAGAGAGGAAGAAAGAGGGAGATAGACACATCAATGATGAGAATCATGGATCAGTTGCCTCCTGCACGCCCCCTACTGGGGATCGAGCCCGAAACCCAGGCATGTGTCTTGACCGGAATAGAATCCGGGGCCGACCCTTCAGTCCACAGGCCAACACTCTATCCACTGAGCCAAACCAGCCAGGGCTGGATCTTGCTTTTGAATCCAGTCTGATGATCTCAGCCTTTTGATTGGACTCTTAATCTGTTCACATTATTGATAGAGTTGTATTTGCATTTGTCATTTTTCTTGTTTTCCAAATATCTCATGTCATTATGTTCCTCTATAGCTCCTAGACTGGTTTGTGTGTGTGTGTGTGTGTTTTTGCATTAAGTAAATATTTTCTAGTATAACATTTATTTATTTATTTTTGTTTATTAGTATAACATTTAAATTATCCCATTAATGACACATTTTTTTTCTATATTTTTTTTGTTATTTTCTTAGTGGCTGCTCTAGGGTTTACTGTGGACGGCTTACCGTAATGCCTTCCTGTTCCATTCAGGTAAGCTGTCCCCAGAAAAGGGCCCCAGTGGAGTGCATGGGCAGGAAAGTGGCCTGAGGAAGGACGGCCTTGGACCAGGGGGAGCCTGAGCTGGCCACACAGTGGCCCCAGTGAGCGCTACAGAGGATGCGCTCCATTGGAGCTGGGGGGGTTGCACAAACCTCAGGATCACTTCAGGTTACATGTCAGGACAGATGCCCAGGTCCACGAAAACACATGTCCTGAGGCCTGCGCACAACTTCTCAGGAGACCTGTGGTCAGACTCCCCTGGCAACTGCCCCTGTTGCTCCATCCTGCACCTTGAGTACCTCCCAGTGAGGCCCCAGAGCTGGTCCTCTGCCCCCAGGGACCAATGGACTGTGGGAGCAGGGTTCACTGGACATGGTGGCTACCCACCTACCCTTCCCGAGGGCACCCTAAAATTCAAGGCCTGATGTGGGACCTGCTGGAGGGCAGACAAGGGGGTGTGTTGGGGTCCAACCCCAGCAGGTCCAGGGGTCCCCAAAGGTGTGGATGGAGTCGGCGATGAAGGAATGACACGGAGACAGCGTTCAGTTGATCAGCAGCCTAGCCAGGATCTCTAGCCAGGATTTCCAGCCAAGTTCTGGTCAGGATCTCCCGCGAAGTTCTGGTTAGGATCTCCAGCCAGGTTCTGTCCAGGTTCTCCAGCCAGGTTCAGTCACCAGGTTCTAGTCAGGTTCTCTTGCCATGTTCTATCCAGGTTCTGTCTCTAGGTTCTCTCTCTAGGTTCTGTTTCTAGGTTCTGTTGTCTTGTTACATCTGTATTTATACCAGTTGATTTTAATCCTGTCAATTTCTATTGCAAAGGTTAGGGCGTTTCTTATCTCCATTCCAGGGAGTAAAGATTATGTAGCTTAAGCGTGATTGTTTGTAATTAAAGTGATTAACTATCCGCCTGGCACTTAGTTAAGGGGTTTTATCCCCTCCCTAACTTCAGGGAAAAATCCCTACCTGGGGAAACAACCTTTCTCGGAGAGGTGACCTTGATTAAAACACATAGCGCTAGGGGGTGGGGGGGGAGCAAACATATTAAGAACAGTATGCCATATACGCCAGGCCCCTTGAAACATATGCTGTCCAGATGTTTCTTCTCTGCAGCGACTGTGTCAAGCAGCAAGGATGGACCGGCTCCCGGCAGGGGTGAAGGGTGGAGTGAGGGGGGAGGGGTCTGAGGTGAGAAAGCTTTGGGAGTGGAGGGATACTGCAGGCTTCAGCCTTTCTGGTTGGGCTAGTGGCCCTGCTGAGAAAGCAGAAGGTCCCTATTAGAATCCTACTGTGAGTGCCTTTGGGAATGTTCAGGAATAAACCTGAGAGCCACAAGCAGGTCGAGCATGGGACAAGGTGAAGACCCAGGGTCCCCGACACACCAGGAATCAGAAAGGGCCTCACACCACTCACTCAGACTTCCATGGGCACCCAGAGTAGGGCTTTTGGGGTCAGAGTTCAGGTTGGTGGGGCCAAAGCTGAAGCATAAAGAGGGGCACTCTGTCCTTTACCCCAAGCCCCTGCCCCTCGTCCCAGCTGATGCCCAATAGCAGGAGATGCTGCCTATCAGGCTCTGGTCCAAGGAGGGGTGGCAGGATGATGTCTGAGGACCTCCAGGAGAGGCCTCTCAGGGGGGGACCTGTCCTAGGCCTCTGAGCCACCCACCGTGGTCCTCCTCCCAACCTCGGTGCTAGTTCTTGGATGCCAGAAACGCTGAGCCCCCCAAGAGGTCTTCTCCATAATATGTGGGCACCCAACCTCTCTATCTCTCACCCTTGGACCCACAACAGCTTTCACCAAAACCTAGCCCACTGGGGTGTATGCAGCGAACCGGAGGGGTGGTTTACAGCCAGGCCAGAACC